TAAAGTGGCCTGCAGTACTGCACCCTAACCACTGCGCCACCTCCAGGGATGTCTTATTTTCGGGGAAACAGAGTACTCTGCTCTGTCCTGTCCTGTTCATTTCAGTCCTGTTCTATTTATTTTAATGTTTAACTTTTGTGCTGGTCTGTGACTGTAATAGAGATTGATTGACATGGTTATAAGATTAATCAGTTAAGAAACTACCTAGACTATCTGGCTGCTAAATAAATATACACAGGAAATCCTTCATTTACTTTAAAGTTGCAGTTTGTTACATGCTTAAAATCCCAAATGAACACTGACATTTGTTTGATTGTGCTTTAAATGGTGCATTACTAGTAAAGACCATGAGGCTACTTGTGAAAGCAATTCTTTCAGTTCACTTCTACATGATCTCTAAATCAACCCAATTAGCTTACTAATGTGGGAACACATTACAGTTATATCAGAAAACTGGAAACTGCAGGACAACAAAGGGAAATCTAGTGCTCTTTGTACATATATTGTGTCACCTACCCTTCTCTATCTATGTAATACTAATGGGATGTGGCGGCTCAGTGGATAAGAGGCTGAGCTCATTGATCAGAAAGATCGGCAGTTTGGCAGTTTGAATCCCTAGCGCTGCATAATGGAGTGAGCTCCCATTGCTTGTCCCAGCTTCTGCCAACCTAGGAGGTCGAAAGCATGTAAAAATGCAAGTAGAAAAATAGGAACCACCTTTGGTGGGAAGGTAAAACAGCGTTCCGTGCGCCTTCAGTGTTTAATCGTGCCGGCCACATGACCACGGAGACGTCTTCAGACAGCACTGGCTCTTCGGCTTTGAAATGGAGATGAGCACCGCCACCTAGAGTCAGGAACCACTAGCACATATGTGCGAGGGGAACCTTTAGGTTGTTGTAAAACCATTAGGTTGTTCAATTGAGCTCTAAATTTTCAAAGGCGGTTTGCCCATTATGCAGCAAGTGATTTCAGGACCTGAGACCTTCTGGTAGCTAACTCACTTCCACAATGCCACTCCCTTTGTGTGATGCAATCAATAATTCCAGGTAGTAAAGTTTCCAGTGAACGGAGATCTGGAGTAGTTGGTCTTGAATCAGAGGCCTCGGGAAGTGGGAACAGAGTCCTCCTTTGTGCAGATTTAACAAGAATGGAGAATTAGTGTGGGTCAAGTGGGAGCAGTTGCCTGCAATGTCCTGTTCACCAGTCTCAGATTAGATCTGGTATTGTGGTTTGATTGCCGCGAAAGCTTCCCCAGGCTGTGCACTACTTTGAA